TCGCACAGTATTTATTCAGAGGGGTGCATGAAAGGTTGAAACAAAGTTTTGAAAATACTTACAAAAAAGTGTGTTTTATTTATTAGAGGTCTCCACTAACTAATTTTAGATAGATGTCCTAAAAAAAAGGTCATCATCCAAAAATATTGCGGCTCGTGTAACATAGCTAACATACGAATGTGGCCCGAAGTAAAAAAAGGTTGAGTATGACTGGTCTATTCTATGCCATACCTCCACAATCAACATACATTCGGAAATTATGTATTTGAAATATATGGAAAAAATCTGATGTGTCCAACACATGACTTTCCTGTTTGGTTATTACAGGCTTTTTCCGGTTATTTTGTACAACCTATTCTATCACCCCTGTAAATATTCACTGGTTCACAATACAATATATGATATTTGTTTAAAGTTCGGCGAAACAGTACGAAGAGGGCTAAATCTGGATAATATGATGGAGTCTCTGAATTATTTCATGGAAATAACACACGTGTGCACCCTTACATTTGTATTGATAAAATATAATTTTTTCTTCGCCAGTTTAGAACGTGATTCCTTCAAACCGTAATTAGTAGGTAATAGTTCTGGCATATGGGTTTTACCATGCACCAATATTTTTTTTCGAATAACATTTTCTGAAAACCTAAGAATCAATAAATGTTCTCAACACTATCAATAGGTACTATTTTGTAACATTTTGTATTATGAAAACAAATAAGAATGCATCATGCGTTGTTAATGTATTCCACAAAAACTGCTATTACCGATAAATTTGGCAACGTTGTAACCCCGAGTGTATCTTTAATCGGATTCTGGATAATTGATAATGATGGCAGAAGTCTATTTCAAACACAAAGAATTGGTTACTTTTTCTTGCTCAGAAGCTGGAAGTGAATCAGTCAGGTTTTGTTTGTAAAGCATCTAGTTTTTGTATCTCCAAAAAAATGTTAGTCAAACAAAAGCGTAACAAAGTTTCTCGGTGTTTTGGATGAATTGATTGAAATGTATCGAAAGCAGTAGCGTAACAACATTTTAACTAATATAAAAAATTTACCGTAACTGGGACGTGCTAATATGAATTATGAATATATAGGACATGCCGTACACGGCGCTCTATAGGATATAATCTATAATGTCTGTCAGTCTGACACAATTAGATAACAAAAGTTTGTCTTAACTATGAAGACTTAACTCTGGAGATACTTTATCACAATGGAGCAGTCAGGAAACAAATTTATGCAGATAAACTAAAGTGATGATACTGGCATATCAAACCAGAGAAACACCGAGAAAACAACAAAATATGCATCGACAAAGAAGTTATCTAAACAACATGATGTGTCACTGGCTAAAACTAGCTTCAGTTTCCGAAAATAATGTAAAGATTCCATTATTTATCGGTATTAATACAGACCCAAATTCATGGAGTAAAATTCACAAATTCATGACCGGATAGAATAACTGGAACTCTGAACAAGATATTCAATCTTAGGTATACAGGGTGGGCCACTTAAAAGTTCCACCCTCCCTTATCTTCGTTATTTATTGAGATATCGAAATATTTTTTTTTTGTTGAAAAGACTGGAACAAATACTTTCTTATGAATAATTCAATTATTCTGTGACGTCATGGCTTACTTCCGGTTTTTCCGGAAACAACAGAAAATCACAATTTATTTTTTATTTTTAAATTGAAACCCACTTATTTTATTCTAAATTTGAATTTCTGGGACATTTTTGTATAATAATCGTGTATTAAAAATTTTCTGGCAGCTGTCAAAATGGCCGCCATATTGGATAATATTGTTTCTAAGCATGTTACTATTAATTCGTTTATGGAAAAAAATATAGAAATGTATGATTTTTATAAAATCTTTGTAAGCTTCAAAATTATCATTGAGTCCCATTTACCGTATACCAGTGGCATATGTAAGCATTTTTATTATTAGCACACTGTTTAATAATTCCATCCGCTTTTATCTTCGTTGTTAATTGAGATATCGGAATGAAAACTTTTTTATTTAAAAGCTTATAACAGATGCTTTCATTTACTGGATCCAATTGGTCTATGACGTCATGGCTTACTTCCGATTTTCCCAGATATAACTGAAAATCGCAATTTATTTTTAATTTTAAAATGAAACCCCCTTTTTTATTGAAAATTTGAATTTCTGAAACGTTTTCCGAAAAGAAGTGTGTGTTAAAATTTTTCTGTCAGCTGTCAAAATGACCGTCATATTGGTTATTATATTTTTTATTATGTTATTGTAAATTCGTTTATGGAAAAAATATGGGAATGTATAAAATCTTCGTAAGCTACACATTTCTTATTAAGGCCCATTTACAGTATACCAGTGGCGTTAAGATTTTTGTTATTAGCAAACCGTTTAATAATTCCACCCGCTCTTATCTTTCTTATTAATTGAGATATTGGAATGAAAATTTTTTTGTTTGAAAGCTTGGAATAAATATTGTCAAATAATTGATTTAACTGGTCTGTGATGTCATGGCTTATTTCCGGTTTTTCGAAAATAACAATAAATCGCAATTAATTTTTTATTTTTAAATGGAAACCCACTTTTTTATAGAAAATTTATATTTCTTAATCATATCTCTCATCGAACTGAATTCATACGATATCAGCGCTTGTAACCACTACATCAGTCAACTACCTACTGATAAATAAAATAACAAAAAATAGTTATTTATGTGTATAAAGTGTATAAAGTGGCCTTCAAAAAAGGCCTTTACATACGAATTGCATACGATATTTCACTACCGTACATATTGTCCACTAAGATTAAAAATACAAAGGTTACTTTACGCAAGTTTAAATTAAAATGTCATTTGTCATGTCAAAATACTAAAAATTGTGTCTTGTTGACGCACTAGTGAGGAAGTGGATGCAATAGGTTGTACATAATGACCGGAAAAGGCCTATAACTTTACATAAGACAAGAAAGTCATGTTGGGCACATTAGAGTTTTAGTTCATATACTTTAAATTGTGTAATTTATTTAAAAAAGTTATTTTTTTTTTAAATGCAGAAACATTTAAAAAATATATTTTATTTTTATAACCTCTAAATTAGTTTTTAAAATTTATTTTCGTTAGTAGTTCGTAGAAAAATATAATAAATTTACTGAAAAAATTTTAGGGTGTCTAAAGTATATTTTTGGTGTATAAAACAAATTCGGGAGAGTCTGGTCATACTTCAGGAACTTCAACGATTGATATCTCAGAAAATATGTCTATATATGTCTTGGAGCCTATCTGTATCTGTAACGTGTGGAGGGTGGGTTACCCCCACGGCACTTAGGCCTCACTAGGCCCATTGTGCATCCTCCTAAGATGATAGGCTCCTCCTACATCGTGAGCCAGCCTACAGATTTGATGTAGTTCACAACGTCGCCAAGAGGTGCTTCTCTTATATTGGCCGGTGTTAGCCGTTACTCGCCGAACACAAACCTTTTAATAAATAAGAGTGTCGAGCAATCATAGAGCTCGATGGTCTCATATTCTTGTTCGCACCCTATGCAGAGTGCGGATTCTGACAGCACCATTATATGGAGATGCTTCCGTACTTGGCAATGACCAGTCAGAATGCTTGTGACTAGGCGCAGATTCTGTCTAGTCATAGTCAAGTATTTGTTTTCTGCAGTGTTGTCAGGATGACTTAAAAGCTCCCTGGCAACTCTGCAGTTTCTTGTTTCATCCCATCTTTCCTTGAATTTCACGACGGAATGTTCTTTAATTAGGTCTGTCACTATAGCGATTTTGTCAGGCCAATGGAAGGGCCAGGTTCAAACAGTATTTGGTTGGCTGCTTTCTTGGCCAGTGAATCAGCAAGACGGTTACCTTTCGATGTGATGACCCCGTTGTTGATGGATACTTCGGCCAAAACTTCGTGACATTCTAGTACTTAGAGCCTATTGAGCTAAAATATGTTCATCTATTGAACACTTGTGGTTATACCGAAAATAGACCTTAAGTCGCTTATTTTAAATACGACACTCAATATATTATTACATTTTTGGATTCTACTCAAGATTCTAGGTAGATTTTATGTATCACGTCCTATATCTAAGTCTAAGCGTTTTTGATATAAATACTTAAATATATATTCAAAACCGTCGAAAAATTCAAAATAACCGCAAATGCCCTGGCTGACTCCACATTCCTGGCAGATACCATATTCATTAACCTAAATACGTATTGTTTTTTATAATTTCAAGTGGCCTAAATCACCTTCCCCAAATTCATCAGATCTCCCACTATAATAGAATACTGAGAAACAATCTGGGACACTTGAATTGCAATAATACTATATTGTTTCTTGTCCGCAACAGTTGTTTATGTATAATTTTTCAGCCACCACAATTTGACGAAGAATTTTGCTATTTTTGTTTACCATTTCGAATAAATTTGCTAGATATTTTTACTTTCCTATAATCACGATTTTTTTCACGAAGATGTCGACCTGTATGTCTTGTGTCTGTATCTACGATAACTCCAATAAGGATAAAGAGAAAAACAACAAATTTTTCGCATCTTGATTAGATTTTGGGCATAGTCGGAGCATTTGTGAGGAAGATATTTTGTAGGGGTAGTTTTTCTACTTCACGGTGTATTTCTGTTATTATAATTCTTTGAATGAGAGTTGTTCGTGCTGTCTATAGTTGAAAATATGAAAAAATTGTATATGGAAAATGTTTAGCTTTAATTTTTATTCTAGAAACTTTTTGATTAGATGGGCGGTACTCAATATATTTGATAACTTTACAGGAAAGTCATGTATTGGATACATCAGATATTTTTAAATAAGAATGGTACTGCTTTTAATTCTTGTATCCGTATATCAGTTAAAAATAAGTTGATTAAAAATAAAAAACACACATCTTTCAAAATGCAACTCGACAATATCCTTATTCAAAAATTAACCTAAACATTCCGGCAACATCGCCCGTTGCCGAAAACATTTCGAACTACAAATCTCACCTTTGTAAGTTGTGGAAGGGCGCCCACACTAGCGAGTTGCCTGCAAAACTGGCTAGGCCGAGCAGGGATCGGCAGCGAGGGCAAGGGGAGCCTCATGAAGGGTCTCGCTGGGAAAGGGCGACTCCCTGGAGGCCAGGAGAACGGCCCGATCAACTGTCGGGCTCCCTTGATGAGCATGTGGCGCTGCTACGTTCGGTTCGGGGTAGGAAACAGTTCTCTGGATTATTCGTAGAATCTAGAAAAGAGATACTTTATTAGTTTTTGGGGAAGTTTACGGAACAAATTTGATATATATGAACTAGTCTTAATATCAAAATATTCATTTTTAACACGTGCGCTCACATAAATACAGGGTGGAAAAAATTATATCTTAGGTTTAAAAAAAAAATAGTGGCTTTAAGCAAAACAAATTTGCAAAAAAAATTGCAAACAAAATTTCAAAAAAAGCGGACGTATTATATGTGGCACAATGCAATTCTTGTAGTTCACCCAATGTGTCTTTATTTGTATTGCTTTCTTAATTTAGTATTTCTGACGGTTTAATTATCTTTTCCGTCGACCAACCATTATTGATGTATTTTAACGCACTCAAAATCGTTGATTAATGACCCCTATTAATAAATGATTTTCTATTAATCAACGATTTTATTATATGCAACCCAACGTACATTGCTCTTATTATACATTTATATTGACAGTTACCTATGGTGTAGGCAACCAAACACATACATTTAAAATCAAGAAGGTTAATACTATATGTTATTATTTTATTCATACTGGCTAACCGACCGCCGGCAGTACTTGCATTTGTTGAAAAGAAAACCGTCTTCCGGCGGTGCTAAGAAAAAATACTTGTAAAATTGTCTACATTTTTGTGGCAAATAATCATATGTAGTACGCGTTTTATTTGTAAATCGGTCTCCTTTTGACAAAGTAGATGAGCTGTGTCCAGGCCATTGGTGTTTATGCCGGTCGGCGTAACCAGGTATGGTATGAAATTTTATGCTGGCGACGAAGCCGCCACCCTAAGAGAAGTCGTTACTTCGTCTTCTTGTTGTCACGGCATAATTATGATTTGTTCATGTATGTGAAATTTGCTTCTAAGGTTTATAAAATACTAGTGCTAATTAATATTTTTAAAAGAAAAACTTAAATAATAATTAAGGGACATTTTTACAAAATTTTAATATTAGATAACAGCAAACTGTAAAACTATCGAATTAGGAATGATCTTTTACTTTCTAAAATTCCCCAATTTATAACTTCGTTGCTTGTAATTCCCCGATCCCCGATTGTGTGTACGGTAAAGAATGGTGGAAAGTCTATAGTTGCATAATATTTTAATAAGTGATATTTAACAAATATTTAAAAATTATAGTATTTAAAAGCTGAAACGTAAAATACACTCTTTTATTTTTGCGCTAATTATTTCAGGAAACTTGTGTTAAGATTTAAAAATGTACTATGGATGAGGTGGCGCCAATTTGCAATCGTGCTTATTCGAAAATACATTTTAATAAACTCATCGTGTTACGTAGTTGTTGACATTAAGATATAGAAATTTAAAGTGACGTCCCAGACAACACACCAAATCCCAGAGATATCCACAGAATATCTTTTGTGGATATCCAATATATCCACAGGATATCAGAAATATTCCGTGGATCTAATATGGATATCCAAATGTCCGTCTATATCCAGAATATAGAAGATATCCTAATGGATATTCAGCAAAATATCTAATGGGTATCTTCCAGAAAATACAAGAAATCGCAGAGATATCCACAGAATATATTTTGTGGATATTCAATATATCCAATACGGATATCCAACCAAATGTCCGTCTATATCCCAGGATATAGAAAGTATTCGGATATTCAGCAAAATATTTTATGGGTATCTTTAGTCGAGGTTCATAAGTAACCAATGATTATTGAATAACGTCGAAAGAAAATAGCAGAGATAAAAAATATTTTCAACACTCAAAATATTTTCAACACTCTGCCTTTGATTTTGCCCACTAAGGAGAAAGTCATCCTTATTAGGACTCTTCAGCAATAAATGAAAATTCTCGACTCCAGCCTCTAATGGAGTGATTAGGACAGAAATTTCGATCGAACTCAATTACGGCGGGTCGAGCATGAGTAGATGCGATAGTGGTATCGCCATCTATACTTAGTAAGCAGAATCAAATAACATCTAGTGGATATCCACGATGGTTTGCATTCGCGCCTAAACTTTGATATATTTAGTGGATGTTCATGGGATATTGAATACACCTTAAAAAAAATAATTTTAAATATCTGAACGGTACTATTAGCCACAATGGCGAGCACAATGGCGTAATTTTTTAATAATTTGCTATATAATTACTATTATTTATGGACATTTGCATGTCTATAAATTACATTTCATGGATATAAAATAGATATCTACCATGGACTGGACATTCAGTGGATATTGGGATGTTCAGTACATTTGGTGTGCTGTCTGGGGTCTTGTATTACTTCGAATTAAAAATTGTTTTCTAACCTAAGAAAAAAGTTGAGTTGGTTCTTAAGAAAGTTTGTAAAATGCAATGTTAAGTGATTGTTTGCATAATATAATCAAAGATTATTTGAAAAATCGGTAGACTGCCTAAAAAATCGGTATATCGGTAGATTTGTAAAGATTAATTTCAAAATCGGTAGATCTACCGATTAATCGGTAGCAATGGCATCACTGCTGCTAGGCGTAAATGAAAACAAACAAACAAGACGCATTCACACAAACACCTCCCACCACAGTAATTACAAATGAGTAGCGTTGTCCCTGATACGAGAGTTTTTTCCGGCGGCATTTAATGTTTCAAATACAGTAGACCGTCGTCCGGCGGTCTTATCAATACTCTGATAACCTGCTGTCCTCATCAACAAATCAGTTCAGATTTTCGGCGGCTTTCTTATATGTGAGAAGACCATGCCGCTGGAAGACGGTTTTCGTTTTATTAAATTCAACTACCGCCGGCGGTCGGCTAGCCAGTACCTACCTATTTTATTTCTTAAAATTCAATAACTCTATGTATAGTTTTGTTGTTTTTCTTTAAATAAATAAAAATTGAAAGTAAGATATCTTTATTTTTAAAAAGTTCTGTAACGAACTCGTGAATTAAAATGGCGATTAATACAAGATATTAATATTCCTCACATTAGATACAGATACTGAATACGATCCTGCCTATCCACGTTTTATCAATTATTACTATTACAACGTTTTGCATGATAAGATTATGTACATAAAATATGTAAAAACAACTGTTAAAATAAATAATTCATAATTAATATTTAAGAACAGCTCACCTAAAATTTTTGGAATTTTCTCACTACCTTAACCTGACATTTTGCCCAAATGTTATTTTAACAATTATTTTTGGTGTATACGAGTAGGTATATCCAAAATTTTGAAAATATTTTTGGAGCTGCTAATGATGTGTTTGTTCATGCAATCGACTGAGCCGGACTAGCCCGATAAGATAAAACCAATGTGTAAATAAGATAAGTAAAAATAATATAAATACCAGAAAGTATATTTGCATCATGGGATTTAATTTTTAAGCGTTAAATCTGTGAATTTGTCTAATTTTTAAGGATTTTGGTATATAATAATTGTTTATCCCAGTAATTTCGATTAAAGCAAATTGATCTACGTTAAGATTACTCACAAAAAAGGTAAATAAAAAAAGTTGCTGTTTCATATAAAGTGCAGTAAAAAAGATACCATAATAATCTCCCTATTTTGATCTCTACAGATCCAATAAAAGGATGTGAGAATCATTTGTCCTCCACAATTAGGAAAAAAGTTCTGGAGAAGAATTTCTAATTTGGAACCTAGAGGCGTAAGGTCGTTTGATCAACCAAATCTGTAAGATTCTAGCCTTTATTACCTTAATTAGAGCTTTTGTAATATAGGATAGTCACCCTTGTAGTAGGATCTCTTATTAAGAAAGCAAATTGTACAATGAAATTACTCAAGACATAAACCAACCCAAAGACTAAAGTTGAAGGTGGTAGCCATGTGTGAGTTATAAGTTCAAAAAGGTAAATCAAACGAGGGTGGTCCTTAGGATCTCACAAGAGTATTTTATTACGACCGGTTTCGAGGATCAGATCCTCATCATCAGGTAAGGTCTAAAAATAGAGAGGAAAAACGAATGAGCTCATAACTAATAAAGTGGGTTTAAACATTTTAATATGAAAGTTGATATTTGACAACTTTCATATTAAAATATTTAAACCCACTTTATTAGTTATGAGCTCATTCGTTTTTCCTCTCTATTTTTAGACCTTACCTGATGATGAGGATCTGATCGTCGAAACCGGTCGTAATAAAATACTCTTGTGAGATCCTAAGGACCACCCTCGTTTGATTTACCTTTTTCAACCCAACAACTTCTGAGGACGAAAATTGGTTCAGAGTTAGCGGTATTAAGGTATTTATAATTCCTTCTCTAACCCCCACTTTATTACTAACCTTGGTTCATTAGTGGTCGACGCTTCCCTTGATTTGATGATGGGCGTTAACGCCACAACCAATAATTAGGCTGTTTGTTCCTCTTTTAGAAGACGATCGATTCTCGCATTACCACGAGAGGAGGTTGGTCCTCACTCGAGTTCGCAGGGAAGTGAGCAAAACAGTTTAGCAGCACCTATTCTGTAATTCCTCACGCGATGGAGACTTGAGCAAATTCTGGTAAACTAAGTATCCTATCAACATAAAATATTTAATATTATTTCTGATAAGAATGCAGGTTCTTCTTGGTTTACCTGCAGAAACCTCCAGAAATTAGTTTCGTAGGTCGCTTAACCGGCCACAGTAGTAAAACAAATATTTAATATTATTTCTGGTAAGAATGCAGATTCTTGATGTACCTGTAGAATTTTCCAGAAAATTGTTTTGTAGGTCGCTTAACCGACCAGTGTAGAAAATCCAGGATTCCTGGATTAACGCTGTCTACTTATTTCCACGCAGAACTGCAACGGTATATTGGAGATTTGCGTGAGTAAAGTAGACATAGCTGTTCGTCTCTACTGCTAGACGAGTGGGTTAAAAGAAATAAGGTGGAGGAGGGGGAGAAGGAGTGAGATTACGTTCCTCTCTCCTATATCTACTGCTGTCTGCTGTCTGGGAGCCTCTACGCGGTACCTGTTTATATAGAGGTTGTTTTCCCTTCTCATTAGGTGACCTAGATCTTCTTGTAAGATCAATGTGGGTGATCCTTTGAACAGGTAAATACTCACTATGAGTATATTGTCCACTCGTTACTGTTTCTGGGGCCCTCCTCGAAGATTCAGATCTAGACGATGTCTGTCGCCGATCGTTTTTATTTGAGTTGATAAGCTCGAATTGAACCTGTCCAAAGCCAAAAAATGGTCGGAAGTTTATTCGTTCCAGTTCCGTTATTGAGACATCGTCTAGTGAAAACGTCAAAATTTGACCACGATCCACAAACTCCTTGTGCAAAATGGTCCACTCATGTGTGCGAAGAGCATGGTTACTGACCTTAAAACGTTTTAATACCTTTTCTCCCGTCAATCTCTCGGAGTCTGCATCATCTGGAATGTATGCCGTGTAGATGTTGGGTTTAGGCACTGACTCTTTCACCAATTTAAGTTGGGCATCTTTCCACGGACGAAGATAACCCATAGTTCCTTTCATCCAACGTAATGTCGTCTCATCAGCACAGTGGAGTAGAAGTTGTCCGGGGCGTATTGCGTAGTTCAAGAAACGGATTTGCGGCCCATCTTCTGGTGTTCTTTCCACAGCGGTAATTATAGATCTTTCGAGTATATCCAGCTGGTCATTGGTCAGCATGACGATTGGATGTTCAGGATGGACTATGCACACCTTGACGTCCTCGGATTCATTATTAAAGGATCGCATTTCATCTTCAGCACATGGTGTTCTCATCTCCATGTCTACGCGCATGCGTTTGTTTAGGTTTTCGATGGTTTCAAGGTTTTCTTCCACCTCATTGAGTATTTGGGTCAAGGCGATTTCGTATGGTATTCCGCACTGGAGAAGGTCATCGAATCGGTCAGATGACGTACGAGCAAACCTCATCGTTTTTTCGGAAGCAGCTCTAGACGTTATTTCATGTGGTGAATGTTTTTCTTCCAGCTCCTTAAGTATTCGGTGCAAGGCTATCTTATATGGCATCCCGCTCTTGAGAAAATTACTAAGTCGTTTTCTCGTTGCACCTGCAAACCTTGGTATCACCACTTTAGGGGTTACCATATCTGTTCTTATTTTATTTGTTCCATGTTTTTCTTCCGGTTCTCTACCAGCTAACCTCATTCTCCTATCGGAGACAGCTTCGGATGTCCGCTTGTTAGAAGTTATCAGATCTGTTTTCATTCCTCTCGACCCCTGCATTTTTTCTTTACGTTTAATGATCTCATTCAAGGCGGTATCGTATGGTACTCCGCTCTGTAAAAGGCGACTAAGTCGTCTTCTGGTCGCACCACCAAACTTTGGCTTCTGACGAGCGGCAGTTGTTTCGTTCCTTTCGTTGCGGATTTTTTTATTTGTTATAGTATTGTTTATTTTGTCATTCATATTTAGTCCCACGAGTAGCCAGGGAAATAAAAGTCAACTACGGCAGAGCCCCGCGTTACCGTAGTAAGGCTAAGAACTGCCGGGAGGTCACCTGGTATCCCGGAGGCTCCGTTAGAAGTGGCGCTCTCCCGCCACCATGCATCCTTTGGCACGGGTCGCATAACACCTTGGGTTTGGAGGGTTGGTCAGCGTCACCTTATTGGTTATTCGGTGATAGCCTGCATGACGACTTGTCATTGTAGCAGGCCATTCGGCAATGCGCCACCTGCCGACGTTCCCAGTGGCCGCCCAAGCCCTGAGCTGAACAATTTAAAAAAAATGACTAGATCATACTCGGCTTGTCCTGCATCTCTCAGTGCTTTCTCCTTGCAACCCTAGCTTTTTTCTAATTATGATCTTCACAGCTGCTGCTTCTTCTAATAAAATTTTACATGTGCAGTGGGTTCTAACAAACTGAAAAGAGAAGGCATATTGTAAGTGAAACTATATTAAGTTCACCAGGTGAAGATTGTCACAAATAAAATTTGGAACTTTTTAGGGTAGGTAAACAATTGTTGCTGATATTGGAAAAACTAATTAAACGAAAATCTTTCAAATTGAGGATTAAAAAGTATCCAAATGAGGAAGTTAAAAAATAGGTCTTGTAACCAGTCCGCAGACGTTGGCGATAGTTAAGATCGAGGGTACAGTAGAGATAAAAGCAGTAGCTTCGGTGACCTTCATTGTAATTTGATTTAAATTACGCAGTTACTTAATATATTCGACACAGTGGGTTGTCTCCTCCATGTTTCTTACAGTTTCCTCTGGTAGCCTGTCTTCCTACGATTGTTTGAATGTAATCATTCATAGTGACCATCTATCTATCTATCTGAATTAGGGCGTGGTTCAAAGCCCACTTGTACTGAATCTCTAGGGTTACATCAACTTTGTATACTTCAACACCAGTGATCCCGACATTGTTATCTTTTAACAACTCCAATGGGAACTTCAAATGCACACTCAATATAAACCACCACAGTGACAAGTTTCACCTTTTTCTCCACTTGCTACAAGAGGAGCCAAATTGAATTTACGTCTCTGATTACTGGTATCGCTTTTTAGGACTTCGGGAAGTTTCGCCTTTTTTTATCTTTTTTTTAATTTCCAAAGTCTCGTTTCTCCACATTGAAAGTTACTGAAGCTACTACTTTTATCTCTACTGTGTCCTTGGTATTAACTGTCTTGGCAACGCCTCCCGACTGGTTACAAGTTTTGAATTCCTCATCAGCATAATTTTTTAACTCGCCTCTTCCTGTTACAACTCCTAAAATATGAATATTTTCGATTAATTAGTTTTTCCAGTAGCAGCAACCAGTTATTACCCTTTTTAAAAAGTTCAAAATTTTATTTGTGATCATCTACCTAGATGATTAAGATTTTTCATTTTTCATTCAAGACCTGAATATAGCTCTCGAGCTGATTTTCAGAATTTTATTTTCGTTTATAAACATAAATTACATACATGGGGCCAGGATGTGGTGTAAAATTTAGATCTCGGGTCATTTTTACGATTTGGTACAACCTGACAACTCGACTATTTTTATGATACGCAATTAATATTGCGCTTTATAGCAGCGACTGTCATTATTTATATTCCACACAAAAATTGTGAACAAGTAGCATTAAACAAAACGTGAAAAAGTTCTTAGTATATTTGCTTGCAGGTACTGCTAAATCAATTAATTATGTTATTAGGAAAAACTATGCACTGCAATAGGTAATTATTGGGAATTATCTATCTATCCATCTCTGGGCAGTTATTTATAGGAAAAAACTTGCTCCGAGGAAAGTGAGTTTCCTCCTCACTCTCCTTAAAGCTTCTAACTGATTTCCAGTTTGTAACTAGATTTCATTGACCGGTGATCCTAACACCTCATTTCTTAACCGTATTACAAATGTGAGGGTATTCCCAATATGTGCACAATAAGGTTACAATTATAAATATGTTCTAAAAGTTGCTCACCTCTTTGATTGGTGTCCTTGCTTCCACATCTGGAGCTGCAGTGTGGGATGCTGTCACATACAAGAACTAGTGACAGATTCCATCTCTGGCACTACTCCACAAGCCTCAATACTACCGAAGACGGTACAGACCCATCTCCAGCGAAGTATAATCATATTCTTGCCGTCTCATCACAAATTAAAGGTGTGCTCGAATTTGGATGAAATCCGCGTCATAAATTCTGAAAGTCAGGAATATTTAATATTATTTCTATTTATTATTATAAACTTAAGGGTATTCAATCCCCAATTATCTTTTCCTAACCTTATTACAAATTTTGGATTATTCCCAATATGTGCACAATAAGGTTACAATTAAAAACATGTTCTTAAAGTTGCTCACCTATTTGAATGGTGTCCTTGCTTCTCAAATGAAACTGTGTGTGATGGTGTCACATTATGTAAGAAGTAATGCGATTTCTTCTCTGGCACTATTCCACACAAGCCTCAATACCGGAGATGGTGCATGCCCATCTCCTGTGAAGGATATTTATATTCTTGCCGTCTCATTCCAAATTAAAGGTGTGCTCAAATTGGGATGAGGTCCGCGTTATAAATTTTGAAAGAAGAATATATAATATTATTTATATATTTATTATTATAAGCTCAGAGTTATTCAGTCCCCAATTATCTTTAAGTGAATGTCCTATAAATCAGTGCCGATGCCCCAATGATGTGATGGACATTCACTTGAGGAGCAGTGTTAAGAGCAAACCGGACTTCTCGCAAATGCAATAATGTTTTGAAGAAATTCTAATATAAAATTGTATTTATATGCGCGTCACTGGGAATACTTCGCGATGTTATGAGTCTCGAGAATATTGAGAGCTTTAAATGTGTGCAACGATAAGGCAGCACTCTACAGAGACGTTTAAGAAAAATCCTCATTTAAAAATTACTAGATATTTAAATGCAGATTTGGTAATTCTGAAAATTAAATAAAAGTCCCCCTACGAATTTTTGATGATTACACTCTGATATTCCCAAAGTGAAAATAAAATCAAAGAAAAATTGAAAAGAGCCGAGAAGAAAAAAAATGCTTGCAAGACCGAGAGTGGAACCCGGGACCTCAGACTTGCGCCGTCTGCGCGATAACCAATCAAGCCACCTCACACATACGTGTTAATGTCTGAATTCGTTTACTTGAAGTATTTAGATCCAGGCTCCCATAGCTACACACAAAATATCATCCCATCTCACTTGACTTGAGCAAATTCTGACCTATCACCTTTTGGAATCTCAAAATTTGAAGCGTCGAAGGCGCTCGGTCCCCCGGTTCTATTTAATATTATTTCTGATAAGAATGTAGGTTCTTGGTTTACCTGCAGAAATTTCCAGAAAATAGTTTCGTAGGTCGCTTAAATGACTACTCGAAGTGGCTTCAAGAAGAATTGAGAGAGCTGAGAATGGATGATAATTTGTGGGTAACGATTGGAGTCTGAATCTGAATACTTCAAGTTAACGAATTCAAAATTTCCAAATCCGCTTTTAGTTTTTAGATATTTATTAAAACAAAAACAGCAAAGTTAATACAGAGTGGCGCGTATAAGTTTTTTTTTAATTACTTTTAAAAATTATCAAAATAAATACTTTGGAAGGTTTACAAAAAAAATCAATGTTTTGTTTATTATTGGTATTTGGTGAAAATTTCATAAAAATCGGACTAAAAATAAAGGCTCAGAAGGAATTAAAAATTTTCAAGGTGTTCGGTTTGCTCTTATTGCCCGCAATTTCAGTTCTCTTCAGATGAGTCGATGTAGACAGTTGGGAGGTTAAGGCTCGCACTGCTCTCTGCATCATACCCACCTCTAGAAGTACTGGGAGATGATTCTAGCTTTTCTCCATATTCTTCTTCTTCCGTCCTTTTTAGGCCCTGCACTGTGACTTTCCCGAACCGATAATGTATGGTATAGCCATTATTTTTGATCCTTTTGTAGGATAGGTCGTCTAACTCTATCCTCAGGATCTGACCTTTGCCCTCATCTTTTTTGCTTACGATCTTCCACAGGGTGGTCGACAGTCCCTCATTCTGAGCTTCTATAAGTTTTAGAAGCTTATCTGTAGTCTGTCCTTGACTTCTAGGAAGAAATAATTTGGCAGTATGTGATTTTGGGATATCATCTCTAGCGCGTACTTGTAACTCTACCCCCTTCCAGTTGCTCAGATGAGGAACTTTTTCCCTAAGCCATTCTGCCGACTGTGGGGTTTCACAGTCTATTAGGAGCATTCCTGGCCTGAAGTGGATCCCTCCGAATTTAAGCTTGTAATCCCATCCGGAGAACATTTCTTCCACTAAGGCCTCTTCGAGTAAGGTTAGATCTTTCGCGCTGAGGGTGGTTCCAGGGAACGTCTTAGGCAGAATCACGACTCGTTCGGTTCTGACAACAGTCGCGTAACTGCCTGAAACGGAGGTAGTGCCCTCTTTCTTTTTTTTATCCTTTTTTTGTTGGGGTGAAGTGGTGTTATTTACCTCATGCTTTCGTTTCAGATCCTTGGGAAGGGTTTTAATCACCTGACTCGGGCATTTATGCTCGTCCGCTTTCTTCCTCGCTTCCTCCGGTGTCAAGCCCTGTTCGAGGTAGCGAAGATACCACCTGATTCCTGCCCCACTGAGCCCGCGTCTCAGTGGGTCATCCCTTCCACCAGGTTGTCCCATTTCAGGTAGCGTTTTTTTAGGCTCTTTTTTAAGGGGAGCTTCCCTTGCTGAAAATGATGTAGACGGAGCAGCGGCTCCGGTTTTCTTTTCTACATTCACTATTTTCTCCTGTTCCGTTGTTTCTATATTGTGAGGTTGTCTCACTTGATAAGTTGAAGGAGGAATTTGATCATTTAGGATGGCATGCTCCGTTTGATCTAGTTTGGTGGCGGTGTGTTCCCACTGTGATTCTTTATTATTTATCATATTCATATTCATATTCATATTTGTTCCCACGAGTAGCTAGGGAAGAAAAAGTCAACCG